CACGAGTGTTTGATGCTCGTTCTTATAATAACATCTCAGACAAGATGTATAAGCCTCACACTTATAGATGTAAAAGAGTATGACATCTGTGTTTCTATTTCTGAAAACATGAATATCTTTTGCCTGTATCATGAAGTCAGATAACAGATATCAGAGAATAGACTGATACAGATCTATTATTTTAAAGAAATTCATTAGAGTAGATATTTCTGTAATATTGAACTTTACAGTTATAAAAAGTTTCTTGATATCTGTGAATATTATAACTTCATATATAATAAAATTCACAACAATTTTCTCTAAGAACAGGCAAATCAGTATCAGAAAGAAAAGATGAAAAAGAAAAAGACTTATAATTTTAACACTGTTAAGAGAGAAGATGATTCTCTGATATACATAAATAATTATCTTATTATAAATATTTAAAATAAATGTAATAATCAGTATTTACAACTGAGCTTTAGATAGTTATGTTATACACTGTCTTCATATAATAAATTGTTCTAGAAGTTGATAAGAAGAGCAAGAGTGTACACACTGAGAAATGTGATTCACTGAGTCTATACAATATCTTCTTGAAACAGAAAGAGCTAGTAATAAAGACAGTGATAAGAGCAGAAGTAGTGAGAGTAGAGATTACAGAAACAGAGATAGTGAGAGCAGAAGAATCAGATACAGAGATAGATGTAAGAGATTGAGAGAGAGCAGCAGAGAAAGAAACAGAGAGAGTAGAGAGAAATATAAGAGATCTGATTATATATAGTATAGACAATTTCTTCATTATTACAAGTCTTAATCGCTCGCTTGCGCTCGCTTATTCAGCTTGAAAAACGTGTCATTTAATCCCTCAGGTTGAATGTAATGAGATATTCATAAATATGAACAGCTGCATGTGACTTGTATAGATGAATTCCATGTAATTTACAACTGTTAATAGAGAACAACTACATAGGAAAAAGATGAATAACACTGTAGCAGTGTTGTAGAGTTAATGTAGAAGCTTTAAGTAAGATGTAATTAAATGTCAGACAGCTCATATAAAGATCTTAGAACTATAATATATATAGTCAGTAATTGAAACATGTCATAATTTACTTCAATTAATCATTAAATCATCTGAAATACAATTGAAGCAGTTAAAATGACTGAATGTAAGTAGAGAACTGAAAGAGAAACAGCTCAGAAATTATGAAATTACAGCTAATAATAGTGCAGAGCAAGCTCAGCAAGCTCAGAGAGCTCTGAAGACTCAGCAGCTCATTAATTCATTTACATCTGTCTTTCAGCAGTCACATCAGCAGCCTGCTAACATGTGAATGCCTGAACATAGGCTACAGCTGCTGATAGAATAAATAGCTAAGAAAGACAGTGAGATTGTTGCACAGCTGTGTGAGATGAAGCTCAAGAGAGATATAGTGCTGTGTGAGAAGAAATTCAAGCCTCAGCTAAAAAGAGTAATAAATATAGAATCAGTACTTGTTCACAGCTGTGATATTAAAGTCACTCTATCATACAGCTTATGTGAGAAGGATCACAGTTCATTTATTAAGTGTGTTATAATCTCTAGCATGTTAAAGAGAGTCTGTGTAAATTATTACTATAATTCACTGAGTAAACACTGCAGCTTGCAGTCTGATAAGTAATGAATCATCTCTATAGTATGTAAATTCATTAGTAAAATGTACATGCAAAATGTATATACTGATATGAAAATAACAGAGAATCAGCAGTTCTTCACCTCTGTCAATACAGAGAAGAATGAGAAGGAGAAGAGAAATAAGAAGAAGCAGACTGTCAGTGTGAAGCTGAATCAGGTGACTCAGCTGTTCAGTTCAGTTAAAAAGAAACAGATGACATTTGTAACTCTGAAGAATGAAGAGAAGAATGATAAAGTAAGTGACAGTGAGATCACAGAGTTAAAGTTGTTATAACTGCAGGTGAAGATGCACCAGCTCTGTAAGATGAAGAAAGAGATGAAACATTTGTGTAGAGAGTGAGATGAGGCTGTGAGCCTGTTGCAGATAGCTCAGCTCAGTCAACAGAGTGTCTTCACAGGCATTACAGCCCTGATTAAAAAATTCAAAAAATAGAGAGTGATGTGAGTGAGCTGTATGAGCTGTATGAGATGTGAGAATGAGCTCAGTGAAGTATTATTGCTTTTTTCTTTTCTTTAATAGTTAGTATCAAATTGAAATGACAGTTTTTTACATGTTCAAAGACCTCTATTTTAACATCTGATAATAGTATTGTATAGACAATGAACAAAAAACAGCAGTAGCAGAAGAATTAGTTAAGAAACTGTAGAATCTTTGAATATATCTCATTTAATGTACATCTCTCATCATTCTCATCTAGCAAGACAGTCAACTGGTTGACATCTGTAGTTTAAGAGAGTGTAATGTATAGCTGATCATATGAGAATACAGAGTTTCTGAGATCAATACTAACTGTAGAAAGAGACTGCTTCTGAGACTTGTTAATTATTATTACAAAGCATGAACAGACTGAAAACTGATAGTAAGTCATATCAAATGAAATCTCAACACCTGTATTTCCTCCTGTATAACCAACACTTGGCCTGTATTTAACATCACGCAAGGACTCATCATAAGCTCCGCTTGTATATGAGTATAATGGAAGAATAATAATAATAATAATAAAAATGAAATCTCAACAGTTTGAGCATGTAGATTGATTTATGATAGTATATGAACTGAATTCTTATATATACTGAATATGATCTTCATCTCAAGTAAATGAGTTATTATTCACTGAATAATTATTCTTATGCCATTGTAGAGCCCTTCAGATAGTCAGAGATTACACAGAAGTATAACAGAAGTGCTCACTTTTAATCTCAATACAGACAGTAACAGGGCTGAACAGTTAATAACAGTTAGATATTTATGAAAGAACTTCTTACAGTTCAGAGTCAGATCATCTGTATGAGTCATATCTGCAGTATAAAATGTATGAATATCATCTAATATGACTGTCATAATCTGTTCATTAATGTGAAATGTATTCTGATTTAATACAGTAAGAATGACATAGCTTTCAAAGTAATCAGAACAGACTGCTGCAGTTCTAAGTTCAGCTGTAGAAAACACTCTCTCACACAGCACACTGATGTCAGCAGTTTAATGAATATAGAATGAAAGATCAACATGATCAATACAGTTCAGATTATATGATATTTGATCAAGCTAATTCACAAATATTATATTGTCATCATTTACAGCCAGTCTCATATTCCTTCTCAAGTGCAGTACAGTTAATCACTGCTATATATATGAACACTGCAGACAAGCTGCAACAACTGCAGCACGCACAGCTGTCACATAATATAATAGACAGAGTCTGTGTAAAATCATCATCAAATATAACAGACACATCATCAAAAAGCTCATTCAATGAACATAAATCTTGAAGAAGATAGTTAACAATCTTCATATAATAGCAATGCTGTATGAGAGTCTCATTTCAAATAATCAAGTCTACAGTCTGTAGCAGATGACTCAGTTCACTGCAAATGATTATCTTTGACACAGAATCTGCATTCAATTCAATTGAGATGATAAAACATGAGTGAGCAGTTCTGCCACATGATAAAAGAATAGCTGCAATGTCAGAGAAAGTTATACAAAGAACTGTTTTTTCACCTGTATATAGACAGCTATAGAGAGCTCTGTAAAGAAATGTTTTGCCAGTGTCACTGAGATCTTGTAGAAAATAGTGAGATGACTGTAATTCTATTACAGTCAGAATTGAATTATATGCATGATATTAATCATCATTTAACTTCATCTGCAGAACATTCACAGTGACAATTTCCTCTATAAGATTATAGTTCTGCTTCTCAAAAAGTAGCTGATTTTTAATAAGATTATTTCATACAGAGCTGCATGCAGATAGGTCAAAGTCTGTAAGAATCTTGTTAAACTCATGCAGAAGCTGCTGAATAAGAAACAGATTATAGTTATAATATACATCTTCTGCAGAAGTATTGATAATACAGTCTGAATTCATCTAACACAGTCAATGTGAAAGATCATCACAGAGAGTATAGTAGAAACATGCTTAGAGAGCAGATGAATCTGCAACATTTTCATGAATTAATACAGTGACAAATACTGACTGCATGCAGTGAGCAGTTATAAATACAATAGCAGATTTAAATATAATAATTCACTTGTGGTTCGGAAGAACGTACGACCGTCGGATAATAACGCGGCCGCTTCCGAACTACTAGCGTACGCGTACAAGTGTAAAGGGGCCATAGCGTATGCTAATTAATTTAGTGTACAAGACTACAATATAAGAAGCCGGTGTATGCCTGTAATTGTACACTGACTTAAGCAACCTTTGAATCACATCTGATAGCATGTCTAAAAACCAGTGAGAAGCACAGGCTCCTTCAGAGTGTGATAATTCCATCTATGAAGTGATTTATAGTTATCATACCAGTGTGGTCCTAGAATGTCTCAAAAGATAGCATATGAAAAGCAGTGAGTGAAAGAGCATCTGATTAATACTGCTTCACTTATTGAGGGAAAACTCCACACCCAGGCAAATGCCATGTATGCGAACAGATGAGGTGTGAGAAAAGGAATGAGAGTGATGAACCAGATTCAAAGAAGACTGCTCTTCACTTAAAGAGATAAAAGAGAGGAGTGGCCATCACTGAAGTTATACAATGATAACAGAGTGATATAGTGATATAATGATATAGTGATATAATAATACAGTAATATAGTGATATAATAATACAGTGATAATGATAGACATCATACAATTAACAAGAAATCACTGAAATGAATACCTTCTCTAGCTGATATAAACAACACTCTTCTCTGCTATCTGAACTGAAAGATATGCAGAACCTCTCAGAGGGTTTACTTAAAGCAGTAAGAAAAGTGACTGAAACTGCTGAATCAGAATCAAAGCTCTGTACATGTACAAGGATTCTAAACAAGATCAAGGCCTTGTGTACACAGTGACAGGCTGAGACAGAAGTTAAATAACAATTGATATTCACTGCAGATCAGGCATTCACTATAAAGAGCTTCACTGATGCAATCATCATCATTAATAAGAATAGAGAAAATCAGATCTTAGATCTGCAGTAGAAGATTAAATATTTACACAGATAGATGACTATATTAAACCTGAAGATCTCATCACAATCATTCATAATCTCTTCAGAAGTGTACACATTATCAGAGATCACTGTGCAGAATGAGAATCTGAGTATGAGATACATTAAGTTAAAAGATCTGCTAAAGTTATTAAGCTTTAATAACAACTGAAAAAATAATACTGTAATCAGCTGACTAAGTCAGATGCAATTATATTATCAGATTGAATGTGAACTCACAGACAGATAGTTAACAGAATTTTAACAAGTCTTAAGATCTGTCACATTTCTATACAGAAAAGTGAAGTCATTATAAATAACTGATAAAAAGATAAATCTCACAGATTCAGAGCAATATTCATTTTCACAAACATGAAATGAGTTTTTCAAATGAATCTTGCACAACTTTGAGAAAGTGAATGTATGAGATAAGTATTACAAACACTTTACTGAGTGTAGACAAGTGAGTGATCTTATATTATACTTCACACACTTCAGCTTACACTATCTTATATTGAATGAAGAGCTTTCAATATCTTTCTGTTTACAGATCTTTATTCATGATCTTACATCTGAGTTAAGAGCAGAATGAAAATACTTAATCTCATAATCAGGCACAGTGAAAGAAGCATACAACATTCTTATCATACAGAAATAAGTGAGTTAATTGTGATAGAAAATACTGTAATCAAGTATATCTCAGTGAAGAATAGATAATCAGACTTCTATAACACAAGTTATATATCTGAATGTGATAAATTTAGATCTGAATGCTATTACTAAAGCACTGAATCTTCTGAAAAAGAAATTCTCTGAGTGAAAATCTTGATATTATGAGCATTGAGCTTGTTTTAACTGTGAATACTAAAATCATGATGTAAAAGATTGCACTCAGCATGCACAGTTAAAAAACTAGCAGAATCAGTGAGCTTGAAGACACTCACTGATATTCTATGAAAAGTCTTCAAAGTGAAAGAGATGTCTGCATTAGATAATTCTCTGAATTCTGTGAATATAAAGAAGAAGCAGGCTTCTGACTGAAGTGTGAGTGAGAATGAAGTGAACACTCATCTCAATGCCTTAAGACCTGAAATGTTAATGTATAGAGAACACTTGAGTAAGAATTAAGAGATGACTGTAAAAGTGTTAGCAGACACAGAAGCTTCTACACAATATATTGATAATTATATAATCTGAAGATTGAAAGAGATTCACTGAGTGAAGAATCTCTGATATATAAGATTATCTGATAACTGATATTTAATATTATCTACAAGAGTAAGAGTTCTCTTGCACTTCAGAGAATGATCTTGCTATATTTAAGTGCAAGAGCTGCAGAATGTGAAATATGACCTTATTCTCAGACTCAATTAATTTCAAAGGTTCAATTCACAGATTCAATGACATACATATCATATGCAGTTGACTAATAGAAAGAAAATGGTTTATACAATTCTATCAACTGATATGAGAAGAATATTTCACATCTCTGATATAGAAGGGTTAAATCTGCTTATACATTAACAAGCAAAGAGAACAATTCATAAGACCTTATTCAAAAGCATTCTGTATGTTATACAGGACTCAGAAGTGGAGAAAACCAAGATAAAGAATATGCAGAAGAACAAGTGTATGAAGAAGCTTCTGAAGAAGTATGAAAAGATCTTCTGAACAGATCTTTCATCAGAATTACTGTCAGAACAAGAATTTGTACATGAGATTGATACAGAGGATACAAAATCAGTCAATCAGAATGCATACTCTCTGTCACAAACACATCTTGAAGAACAGAAGTATCAGATCACAGACCTTCTAGAACATAGTCTCATATAACTCTTCTCAAGCATGTGGGGCTTTCCAGTCCTATTCATGAAAAAGGCAGATAAAGAGTGATGAATGTGTATCAATTATCAAGCACTTAACAAGCTTACAATCAAGAATGAATATTCACTGTCATGAATTCAATAACAGTTGAATACAGTCAGAAACATCTGATATCTATTAAAGATTGATCTTCTCTCAGAATACTGGCAGATCTGTGTAGATGAACTGTCA